GTTTTTAGCCACCATGTGAGTGCTGGGAATTGAACCCCGGTCCTCTGTAAGAGCAGTCAGTGCTCTTAACTGCTGAGTCATTTCTCCAGTCCCTACTTTTAGTTTTTTGAGGAACCTCCATACTTACTTCCATGGTGGCTGAACTGCTTTACATTTTCACCAGCAGTATGAAAGAGTTCCCTTTTGTCTATATCCTTACCAGCATCTGTTGTTGTTTTCTTAATGATTAGTGAGATGGAATTTCAATGTAGTTTCAGTTTATATTTTTCTGATGGTTAGTGAGTTGCACATTTTTTCATATGTTCATTGGCCATCTGTATTTCATCTTTTTAAAGCTGTTGGTTCCTTTCATTATTTCCTTGCCCCATTTATTGGTTGGATTGTTAGATTTCTTGTGAAGAATGACATTGGAATTTTGATGGGATCGCATCAAATCTGTAGATAGCTTTTCGTAGGATGGCCATTTTCACAATATTAATTCTTCTAATAATTCTTCTAATCCATGAACATGGAGAGTCTATCCTCTCATGTCTTCTTTAATTTTTTCAGTGTTTTAAGATTTTTATATACTATAATTTTTCTAGTGACAAAAGTAGACGATTTTGGATGGATGTTTAATTAATATCATGGAGGAAATGATTGCACTATAAAGTTTGAGGACTTTTTAAAAGAAAAATCAGAATGCAAAATAATTTACGGCATAATCCCAATTGTTAATATATGTACACAAACTGTCACACAAACACAGAGACACACATACACCTTTGTTCAAAAGAAAAAGGCTGAGGTAAAATTTAAAAGGCAGAAGGCAGTATAAGTTGTTAATATTTGTTATCTCTGTCAAATAGAATTTTGAATGATTTAGGTTTCCTCCTCCCTCCTCTCCTCTCTTCAGCCTCCTCCTCTCTCCTCCTTCCCAATTTTCTAATCATATGAGACTGATCATTTCGTTGTTGTGTTTATTCTTGTGTTTGCCGCCACTCACCCTTGATCATTATCACAAAGGCTTTTACTTTTGTAAACCATTGAGACATATGCTTTCATTTAGCCACAGTCCTAAGGAGCACTGTCATTAGTACTGGCCCTAGGTTACAGGCCAGATCCTAGCCTTTAAGGAATGTCCTATCTGGAAGGGGTGAGAGGACCAGAGCACATCTACAGCTTGGGAAGGGGAGAGAGCATTTCTGCTGAGATACGGCAAAGCCTTTAGGAGGAGATGGCTTTGAGTCTAACCTTGATGACTAAGCTGAATTTTATATGTAACATTTGTGTTCCTTTCTTCTGACTCCATAAGAAATAAGTGATTTCTGCACAAAATAGGAAGGTGCAAAAGATGCAAATAAATATTTATGGGATTATTTTCATATGTGGGACTTTATTTAAGTTGTACAACTGTATAAGGTAGATGTGGTTATTGGGGGCATTTCTGAGACAAGGAAATCAAAGTGCAAACAGATGGAATGAATGATTTGGGGCCATATGTCTGGAAGTACAGTACTAGTAACCATGGTGGCCTCACCTCATAGAAGACAATGAATCAGCATTAAGCCCATTGCTTTCAGTGGATTTCCCTCACACACACAAGGCCTTCCCAGGTCTCAGCTGTCTCTGCTGAGTACTCATCACCCAAGTGTCATTGGCATATAGGCATATAGGCTTTAGCTAAATGCACGGGGTGGACAAGATGACCAGGGAAATGTGTAGAGAAAAGAAAAGGGCTCTAGAACAATCTCTGAGCCACGGGGGCACCTTCTCCTGGCTTCACTGGGTGGAAAGCAGGCAGCATCAGGGAAAACTTCACGGTACTCACAAGCGGAGCCAAGGCTTCGAGGATGAGAAAAAAGGTGTATGCTGGGCAGAGAAGAGCATGCAAGCAAAAGGAACAGCATCTTCGAAGGCCACAAGAGATGGAAGAGACAGCATGCCGACTGGGAACAGCAGGGTGACTACAGGATGGCTATAGCCCAAGGCATGTGCGTGTCTGTGGAAGTGGCTCATCTGTGTCGTGTGTGTGTGTGTTGTGTGACTGTGTGAGCTGAGTGTGTCAGGAGACCAGGGGAGAAGGTGGGGATCAGGTCATTAAGGACCACTTATCTCTTTATAAAGCTTACAGTATTGTGAAAGGGGAATTTGGAAATTTATAGAATGGGATCCCACAAAGCCAGCTATCAGTGTGAACTTCATGTATCTTCAAAGCAATGGGGAACCTTTGGGTTTTCTTGACATGTTAGGTTTTTGAAGGACAAAATGAAAACTGGTCTTTTGGAATATTCTCAGATGAGGTAGTTTGGAGAAAGCAGAGGCAAGAGAAAAGACAATATGAGAGAAAATCATAAGTCAGTATGTATGAGAATGACCATAGACAATATTCATGAGGATGATCAGACAATCACCATGTAATCCACTGCTTCCCATCGCATCTTCACTGAGGTATGATTGACAAACAAAAATTATAGACATTTTAAGGTGTGCTGTGTAATTTTTAAATATTTTTATTTTTAATTATGTATATGTGTGTCTGTAGGGTATGTACATGTGAATGCAGGTGACCACAAAAGCCAGAAGAGTGCATCAGGTCCCCTGGAACTAGAGTCACAGGTGGTTGTGAGCTGTCCAACATGGGTATTGGAACTAGGGTCCTCTGTAAGAGGAATATGTACTATGAACCACTGAGCCATCTCTCCAGTCCCATGATATTATAAATGCATCCATTGTGAATAAGTACCATAATCAAGGTAATTAAAATACCCATCACCTCACATAGGCACGTTTTCCCCCTGTGTGATAAGAAAACTTCAGAACTATTTAGAAAGCTTCCTATATACAACTCACCATTATTAACTATAGTCACCATGCTGTATATTAGATCTCCAGACTAGAACTTAGTCATCAAAAGCTGAAACTCTATGCATTTGGCAAATACTTCTTGTCCTTCACCCCTCAGCCCCTGGTTGCCATCATAAATTCTGCCATCTATCATTATGAGCTTAATTTTTTTAAATTATTATTTAAAATTTTATGTGTGAGTGTACTGTCTGCATGTATGTAAGGGTAACTATGTCTGCAATGCCCATGGAAGTCAGAAGAAGGTGTAGGATCCCCTGGAACTGGAGTTACAGACAGTTGTTAGCCACCATGTGGGTGCTGGGAATTCAACCCAGGTTGTCTGCAAGAGCAGCCAGTGCTCTAACTGCTGAGCCCTCTCTCCAGCCCTGAGTTTGATTTTTTTTCAGAAGATTCACAAATCAGTGATATAATACAGTGTTCACCTCACTATTTGGCTTTTTTCTCTTAACATACTGTCTTTCAGGTTAGTCTTTTCTTGCAAATGGAAAGACTTCCTTCTTTTTAAAGTCTGAAAATATTCCATTCTATCTATCCAATCTATCTATCTATCCAACCATCCATCTATCTAGCTATGTGTATCTGGACATGTATATATATACATGTATTATGCATGTATACATACACACTTCTCTGTCCATCCATCTGTGGCAGACACTTAGGATACTTTAACATCTCGGCTATTGCAAATCATGCTACGATGAACAATGATGTGTAAATAGCTCTTCCAAAGACTGGTTTTATTTCCTTTGGATAAATATCCAGAAGTGGGATTGCTGGGTCATATGGGACTTGTAATTCTTAATTTTTTCAGGAACTTCAACATGATTTTCCATAATGACTATACCAATTTCCCCGTCTCACCAACAGTCTAGAAGTTTCTCTTTTCTCCATATCCTTATCAATGCCTCTTATCTTCTCACTTTGATAAATGTCCTCCTAACAGGTGTGGTTTCGCAGCCCATTATAGTTTTGATTTGCAGTTCCCTGATGATCAGTGGTGCTGAGCATCTTTTCACACACCCATTGTTCATTGCTGGATGTTTCAAACCAGCAGTTCAAAAACATATTCCTTCCTCATCAATTAAAAATATTTATGGTGCACCACAACCCCCTAGCCTAGTGTGTAATCCACTCAATAAACAGAGGGTAGCAACCCAGAGCAACAAAGGCCCAGCAATCTGAAGTCACAGAAGAGGGTGGGACAGTGGAAGCATCCAAGCTAGTTTTGGGAGATCTCGGTGGGCTTCCTGTAAGAGGGATAGTGTAGAGGAGCTGAGGGTCCCCAGATGGGTAAGGCATGGTTTCGCCTTAGGTAAGTGAGGACAGATAATAACCAAGGCAATGCCATTTAACACAGAAGTGTAGCAAACACATGCGTATGAATTGTATCTTTCTTTACTCAAAAGAACATCCTCCCTCTGAGTAAAATTACCCTTTTTAAAGCTGAGTGGTCTGGAAGGAGGTCCATCAGAATGGCAAAGTGGCTCATGAGCCCTTCCTGTGCAAATCTGCAGAACTTTGAAGGATGGGTGTAGAGTTCTCCTGCCTTGCAGAAACAGAAACCTAGTGAGTCCGGGTGGCAGATGGCGTATGCTGGGAGATTCGTTTTCCATTGGCATCCATCTCCCTGGCCCCTCTGCTTACTTGGTTTATTTCCTTCCACACCAGAGCAAACCCAGGCTGAGACAAGACAGACACCCGTATGAATTGGTCAGAATACCTGAAGAGGGAGAAGAGAAAAACACGCTCCATGTTTGGAATGGTGGGAAGGAAAGAGAAATCTGAACAGCCAGAACAGAAAGTGACCCTCAGGCAAACACTTTGTGAACGCTGTGGGGAGCACGCAACGGTAAGGAGGTCATCTACCAACCTACAACCCTCTGGTTGCTTCGGGTACCAAAGCAGGAACCCAAGGTGCAGGGACAGGATGGCGGCTGCCACCAGTCCCAGTTCCTAGGCCGCTGCTCCCTACCAGCTGCAGCTGTGGTCAAGGCCGGGGGCGTGTCTGAGGGGCGTGGAGAGGAGGAATTTAAAAAAAATAATAATAGCCCTAATAATTAGCATCCTCCAATCCCATTGGCTCTCCTCAGGCCCTGCTTTGCATACGCCCGCCCCTCTGGCTGCCCGGGATTTGCTGGGGTTCTGCCTGGTTTTTGCAGCCGCCTTGGCTACGGTGCTTCAGTGCGGAGCGGGTGGGAGCAGAGAGAGCGGCGTCCGGGAGCTGGGAGCCCGCTGCCCGGGGAGCTGCGGCGGCTGCATCTTGGGCGATTCCGGTCCTGCAAGCTCTGTGGCCGGCGTTCCGGGGCCTCTGCAGTCATCCGGTCCCAGGGAGCAGCCAGCCGGACACTTTTTATTTTGGATGAAAGGCGCGAGTCCCGGCGGGAGCTTCCCTCCTGGCCTGGCTCGCGGCTCGTTGCGCCCCAGCTCTGGCCTCGACTCCGGAAGATGACTTCAGGGTCCGCCGTGTGTATTCCAGCGGCGACGGCTCCGGCAGGCAGCGCAAAGTAGTGACACTTGCTGGTAACGCCAGGTGGGAAAGTAAGCCTTGGCGGCGAGGAGTCCCGCTGTCCCCGCGGTCCCGGGGGCCCACAGCCCCTCGCCACTTCTTTCCCTGGGTTCCCCGGCGGCCGCAGCATGAAGTGGCGCAGCGATGGCCAGAAGAGGTAAGAAGCCGGTGGTGCGGACGCTGGAGGATCTGACGCTGGACTCGGGTTATGGTGGCGCGGCGGACTCTGTGCGCTCCTCCAACTTGTCTCTGTGCTGTTCTGACTCGCACCCGGCGTCCCCGTATGGCGGGAGCTGCTGGCCGCCTCTAGCTGACTCCATGCACAGCCGGCACAACAGCTTTGACACCGTCAACACTGCCCTGGTGGAAGACTCCGAGGGGCTGGACTGCGCCGGCCAGCACTGCCCGCGGCTGCTGCCGGACCTCGACGAGGTCCCCTGGACCCTCCAGGAACTGGAGGCGCTGCTGCTGCGCTCCCGGGATCCCCGGGCAGGCCCAGCGGCCCCCGGCAGCCTGCCCAAGGACGCGCTGGCCAAGCTCTCCATGCTGGTGAGCCGGGCGCTAGTGCGCATCGCCAAAGAGGCGCAGCGCCTGAGCCTGCGCTTCGCCAAGTGCACCAAGTACGAGATCCAGAGCGCCATGGAGATCGTGCTGTCTTGGGGCCTGGCGGCGCACTGCACCGCGGCGGCGCTGGCCGCGCTGTCCCTCTACAACATGAGCAGCGCCGGCGGCGACCGCCTGGGCCGTGGCAAGTCGGCGCGCTGCGGCCTCATCTTCTCCGTGGGCCGCGTGTACCGCTGGATGGTGGACAGCCGCGTGGCGCTGCGCATCCACGAGCATGCGGCCATCTACCTGACCGCCTGTATGGAGAGCCTCTTCCGGGACATCTACGCGCGGGTGGTGGCCTCCGGGCTACCCCGTAGCTGTAGCGCTCCCGGCCCTGGCTCCAGCTCCGGTTCTGGCCCAGGCCCCAGCTCCGGCCCGGGTGCAGCCCTCGCCGCGGAGAAGGAGCGGGAGGCGCCGGGAGGGGGAGCGGCAAGCGGCGGCCCTTGCAGCGCGGCTAGCAGCGCCAGCGGGGGCAGTAGCTGTTGCGCCCCACCAGCCGCGGCGGCGACCGCAGTCCAAGCGGCCGCAGCCACGGCCGCTGCCAACCACCACCACCACCACCACGTGCTCCACGAGGCGCCCAAGTTCACCGTGGAGACCCTGGAGCACACAGTCAACAACGACTCCGAGATCTGGGGGCTCTTGCAGCCCTACCAGCATCTCATCTGTGGGAAGAACGCCAGCGGTAAGTGGCTGCGCGGGTGCCCCCCCCCAACTCGGCCAACTCTGGACACAAGTTTGTCTCGCATCCCCTCCCGAGTCTCCCTGGCCACTCGCCGCTGTGTGGAGGCTCTGAGGAGGCCTTCAGGCTGGAGAAAGCCACAAATTCACACGTTCACGCCTCAGCTTGAAATCCATGTACTTGACACTGAGAAAAGTCTCGAGTCCGGAGCGCACACGGTTCCGCCCCTGTGCAGGCCCTGGGCAAAACCCAACACTTTGCATTTTTTAATTTAATCGAATATTTTATTTTATTTGGCGCAGACTTGGGTTTGTGCCTGGTAGCTATCGTCTAGAACCCTGTTATTTGGATCTTTAAGGTGCCATATTTCAGTACCCACGAGTTTGGTTAAGATCAGGAGGAGGCGCGTTCCCCTCTCGCCCCTCGCCTTCGGGGGTCTCTGTAGACGCACAGGGAAATCAAGGCCTGCGGTGGGGATGGTGGAGGGTTCAGAGCTGTGTGGGCCTAAAACAACCCACCGGGGAGAAGTGAGTGTGGCTAGAGCGTGTGGAGTGAGACTCCATAGCTCAAGTTTTCTCGGGCAGTTTCTAAGCGCCCGAGCACAGACCTGGCGGGGACTTGGCATTGGGCAAGGCCCTGGATTCCCACCTCCACGCTCTGGCCATTCCCATCCTCTGCTGGGGGATCTGCATCTGTCACCCCTCAGGTAGAAGCGCCACCGGGGACCCGGACCGGATGGAGGGGTTGTCAGCGGAGGACCTCGTTTCCGGCGGATTCTGAAATCCCCTCCTAGCACCCCGTTGTTTTGGAGGGAGCTGGGTGGGTTTGAACTCATGGCTCTGGCAGCGGAGTGGGTGGAGTTGGGGTGCTTATTTTTGAGAGCTCGCACTGGCGGGCCCTGCCTGTCTGCAAAAGCCTAAGCTAGACACATCAAAGCTTCAATTTTCCACAGGAAATGGTAGAAGCGTAACTGGAGACTCTAAAAGCGAAATAAAACTTTGTTACGTATTCCGGCGGTTTGGCCGGAGGTTGCGTGGTCGGAGCTGAAATGCAGCCTTTCTGGGCAGATTTCATTCATGTCGCAGCCTGTCAGTTTCCTCTCAGCCGAAGGAGAGATGCGGCGGGCTGGGCTTGGTCTCTGGGGTGCCAAGAGTGCGAGTGGGTGTGCCGGCGCATGTGTGTGCAAATGTCATGACTGCGCAGGAGTTAACAGGCTCCCGGGCGGGGCCTGGGGCTCCAGCTGAAACCCTTGGAAACCTACCCTGTGGATCCCTTCACCTGGATTTGATCATCGTGGGGGAGGGGAAGGAAAAAGAGCAAAGTC